GGCTCTGCCAGGGACCACCGCTGCAAGGCGAGGGGCCGGGGCCGCGGTCGCGGCCTGAACACAGATTTGCAAGATGAAGCAGTTCTAGAAGGTTGGTTGCCCAACAATGTGTATATAGTTAACGCTTCAAAGTAGTTAAGATGAAGAAGGGCAAACGAGAAGAGAGACTTTTGTCTTTTTACAGATTTTATTTATTTATTTTAGAGAGAGACCATGAATGGGTAGGAGAGGTGGAAGTAGTCTCCTCATGAACAGGGAGCCCGCCTAGGATCATGACCAGAGCCCAAGACAGACGCTCAACCAACCAAGCCGCCTAGGCATCCCAACACACTAAATGATAGCGAATCCACTACGGGTTCCTGGGGCGGGTGGGGGACAGCTTACATGTGCAATGGGGATGAAGAGGAACCCTTGTGATGAGCACTGGCGATGAATCACTAAATTCTACCCCTGAGACCAATATTATACTATATGTTAAGTAACTAGAATTTAAACTAAAAAAAAAAAAAATTAAAAATGGCTACGATGTTAAATTTTACGTTTTTTTTTAATCGCAATTAAAAAAAACACAAAGAAAAGGATCCTTCAGTTGGATCACAATGCATGGCCCGATTTTATACTCCATAGGAGCGAGCTACCTAAAGTTATTTTCAGCTTGTTGAATCAAAGAGTGGTTACAGACAATAAATTCAAGGACTCAAGGACTTACTTGTGTACGTAGCAGAATTCACTCAAAAAGCATTACATGTAGAGGGCTGAAAGAACGCCTTATAAGAATAAAGGGCTCAAAGCTCAATGAAAATCTAGCAGTTTTGAATATATATGGAATGCAAAAAGCTTCAACGTTCAAAACCAAAACTAGGGACGCCTGGGTGGCTCAGTTGGTTAAGCAGCTGCCTTCAGCTCAGGTCATGATCCCAGCGTCCTGGGATCGAGTCCCACATCGGGCTCCTTGCTCATCAGGGAGCCTGCTTCTCCCTCTGCCTCTGCCTGCCATTCTGTCTGCCTGTGCTTGCTCTCTCTCCCTCTCTCTCTCTGACAAATAATTAAATAAAATATTAAAAAAAAAATTCAAAACCAAAACTAAAAGGAACTGCAAGAAGAAAGACAGCCATAGAAGCACTTTTTTTCTTGTAAAACGTTTATTTCATTACACTCCTGTTTGGTCATCTGATCTAACTGCAAATTTATCATCAGTCTTTTTTTTCTTGTCCTTGCAGTGTCCACAGAAGCAAATTTACAATTATCTGTCAGCCCGTGACGGGCCAAATGGACAGACAAACCTACAGAGTGACAGCATTCATGGAACACTGGGATCCCGACACGCTCTTATCCATGCCTTCGGCAGTAACCATCGCCGTGTGATCCTCTCAATAATCCTTTGAGGTAGGGTCTGTCATTGTCACATTTTGCCAACGAAAAAATAAGCCTAGAGAATGCAACGTGATGAGACAGAGGAAGTAAATAATATAATGGCTGTCAGGCACATCAAACTGGTGGATTTAAATCTCTACCCTGAAGACAACGAACACACCTTCTTTTTAGCTATTCATGGAGCATTCTTAAAAAGTGACCACATATCAAGGGGCGCCTGGGTGGCTCAGTGGGTTAAGCCTCTGCCTTCGGCTCAGGTCATGATCTCAGGGTCCTGGGATCGAGCCCCGCATCGGGCTCTCTGCTCAGCGGGGAGCCTGCTTCCTCTTCTCTTTCTGCCTGCCTCTCTGCCTACTTGTGATCTCTGTCTGTCAAATAAATAAATAAAATCTTTAAAGAAAATAGGCATTTCCGTCATTAATTTTTTAAAATGACCATATATCAGACCACAACCTTAATTTCCAAAAAGTAAAAATACATACATAAGTAAATCCAATAATGTCAGAAATTAAAAAGTGAAAACCACCCTCTCATATGGAAAATTTTAAGTATTTCCTTAAATCTCAATTCAAAGACTGACTATATCAAGAAAAAACTTTGAGTATCTAGAAAATGACAATTAAAACACTATGGGTTCAAAGGCATGTGATAAGGTTAAAACAGTGCTAGGGCAATGTATAGCCTTAAATACTTGTGTGAGTGAGCCAGAAAACATGAAAATAAAGAGATTAAGTATCCACTGCAAATTATTAGAAAACAAACAAAAAATGAACCTAAGAAAAACAGAGTGAAGGAAAAATTAAAAATAAATGCAGAAGTCAGTTAATTAGGAAAATAACAGAATAATAAATTCAAGAAGTGTTTCTTTGGAGGAAAAAAAAGGTAAACTGTTAGCTAGCATAGTCAATGAAAAAGGGGAGAAAGCACAAATACACAAAACAAGACATGAAAGTGGGTAGATAACCACAGATTTAGAGGAAATTTTGTGAAATATGACAGTATTTACTCCACTCTATGCAAATAAGTTTGGGACATGGATAAAATGTTTGTTTTTCTATGAAAGCATAAATTACCAAAACTGACACTAGAAAAAAGCTGTGAAAAAATAAAAACTCATCTGTTATTATAAAAGAAATAGAAAATGTTGTTCAAAAGCAACTCTTACAAAAAGCACTAGGTCTGCTGACTTTAGAAGGGAATTCAACTGAACCTTTAAGGTCAGACTACTCCAATGCTATTTTGAAGTATTCCAAGGCATAAACAGTAAAAATTCCACATTCTGGTTATGGGGGATTGATGCCAATAGAGTACAAAATGTGAAAGTATGGATGACTCTTACTGAGGAATATCCATGCAAAACTGCTAAACGAAATAATGCCAAACAGAATGTAGTAGCTCATTCAAAAAATAAAATATGAGGTGGGAAGGCAAAATGGTACAGCTGCTGTGGAAAACGGTATGGAGGTTCCTCAAGAAATTAAAAATAGAGCTACCCTATGATCCAGCCATTCCAATTCTGGGTATTTACTTGAGGAAATTAAAACATTAATTCAGGGGAACCTGGGTGGCTCAGTTGGTGGAGCGTGTGATTCTTGAGGTTCAAGTTGGTTCAAACCCCACATTGGATGTAGAGAATACTTAAAGAAATAATTTTTTTAAAAAACCCATTAATTCAAAAATATGTATGCACTCCTGTGTTCATTGAAGCATTATTTACAGTAATGGCCAAGACATGGAAAGAACCTAAGTGTCCACCAGCAGATGAATGGATAAAGATGTCACATACACACACACACACGCACATGCACACAGGACTATTACTCAGCCACAAAAAAAGAAAGAGATCTTTTGGAATTCACAGCAACATGGGTGGATCTAGAGGGTATTATGCTAGGGAATTAAGTCACACAGAGAAAGACAATTACCATATGATTTCACTTATATGTGGAATCCAAAAAAACCAAAATAAATCAGAAACAGACTCAGATACAGAGAACAATGTGGTGGTTGACAGAAGGGAAGGTGTGGGGGGGATGGGCAAAATAGGGGAAGGGGATTAAGAGTACAAGACTTCCAGTTATAAAATAAATAAGACACAGGGATGCAATGTACAAAATAGGGAATGTGGTTAATAATATTGTAACAAATTTGTGTGGTGACAGATGGTAGCTAGACTTACCATGGTAATCACTTCCAAATTTATATAAATGTTGAATTACTATGTTGTACATCTGAAACGAATATAATATTGAATGTCAACTACATTTCAATAAAAAAAAATTAAAACATGATTAAGTGGGATTTATTTGGGGGAGTTTAGGAATGGTTCCATATTAGAAAATCCATGGATATAATACGCCATATTAATTGGTCAGAAGTGACAAATTGTATGATCATTTCCCCACAGATATTATAGAGGCATCTAACAAGATCAAATATCCTTTTTGCTTTATAAAACACCTTGGTATAATCAGACGAGGGGGATTCTTCTTTTACATTACATATTTCTATCAATAACTCAAAACCCAAAGAACACTAGAAGCATTCCCATTACAGTCTGGACCAAAACAGAGATACCCTTTATCACCATTATCATTTTACATTATTGGGTAAGTAGACCATAAAACCATATAAGTAAAAAAGATATAAGTATAAATATCTAAAAGAATGAGGAAAACTTCTCATTATTTGAGGCTGATACAGTTGTTTACCTAAAAAACACAAGGTGATCCAACTGAAAAATTATTACCAGTAAGAGCGGTCGGTAAAGTGGCCCCAGGCAAAGATGAAGCAAGAGCTAGAACGGGTCAACAAAGCACCCTTTACAGTATCAGTAAAGATTACGACATACTCAGGAATGAGCTTAACAAGAAAATGTGTGGGACAAAAGCTTTGGGAACTTATTAAGGAAGACAATAAAGAATACTTGAACAAAATAATTTCAGTATGTTGCATGGAACCCAATCATATGCAAAATATTATCACTGTAACACGCAGTCAATAAAGAAGTAGTAAAGAGCTATTTTGGACTCTAGTTACGATTTTCAAAACTCCATGTGCATTTTACACTTGCCTTTCAGCACAGTTTGTGAGATAGCCACGTTGGTCATGACTTCCATGTGGGGCAGTGCAGTGTGGGTTAGGGTGGGAGAGCGCTGGTGCCACGCTGACTGGCGGGTGTGTTTGTACACCTGTGTGATGTCGACATCATCTACCAATACTTAAATGTATGTATTAGAACACAAACTACACTTGTACAGATTTATCCCAGACAGGTTATGACAGACCTTTCAGTATTAAGTCTCTATGTTTTTGGCAATCGTGTGTAGAAAAGTTTATGGATCTCACCTCCTGGCACAGGATACAGAGACCCCATGTATCATGTTCTGTTTTGATCAATGAAAGTGCTAATTTGATTGTTTTAGTTCATGTTTGTTTATTCACAAGGCTGATTTTTTTGTATTTTTATTAGTCATTTTGTTTCTCCCTCTATGAATTATCTTTTTGGTTCATTTTGTTTTTGTATCTTCATGGGTTGCATGTTTTAACCTTTTGTTTTTGTTTGTTTGTTTTTAAGATTTTATGTATTTATTTGACAGAGAGAGAGATCACAAGCAGGCGGAGAGGCAGGCAGAGAGAGAGGCGGAAGCAGGCTCCCCGCCGAGCAGAGAGCCCGATGTGGGGCTTGATCCCAGGACCCTGAGATCATGACCTGAGCCAAAGGCAGAGTCTTTAACCCACTGAGCCATCCAGGCGCCCCTGTTATAAGCTTTTAAAGTTAGTGGGATATGAATATTTTGTTATACAGATGACAAATGTTTCTTCAATTGTCTTTTTATTCGTATGTCACTAAATCTATCAGTTTTCATGTGTGATCTTTTCCATTGTCTTTTTGATTAAGAAGTTTCACTTCATCTTGAGCATATATTATCAATATTTTTTAAAAATATTTTATTTATTTATTGACAGACAGAGATCACAAGTAGGCAGAGAGAGAGAGAGAGAGAGGGAGGAGGAAGCAGGTTCCCCTCCGATCAGAGAGCCTGATGTGGGGCTCGATCCCAGGACCCTGAGATTGTGACCTGAGCCAAAGGCAGAGGCTTTAACCCACTGAGCCACCCAGGCGTCCCATCAATATAATATTTTAAGAATAGTTTCATGTTTATATTTGACGCTTCTTGCCCATCTAAGAATTATTTCGCAGTGAAGAGCTGACATTATTTTTGCCTTTTTCCTCAGCTCCATGTATTACATAACATTTATTTGCCTGTTGATTGTTCTTGTACATGAGGTATATTTGTGAACGCTCTATTCGGTTTCATGAATTGTTATCTGTATGTTGATTTGCCTGTCAATACCCCTCTGTTTAAATTACCTTACTTTTTTAAAAGATTTATTTGAGAGAGAGAGCGCTCACACAGCAGGGAGGAGCAGAGGGAGAGGGAGCGTCTCAAGCAGACTCCACACTGAGCATGGAGCCCGATGAGGGGTTTGAGCCCACGACAACCCCGAGATCATGACCTGCGCCGAAATCCAGAGTCAAACACCCAAACGATAGAGCCAGCAAGGCAGCCCTCCTCCATGTATTTAAATCTGTTGCTAGATATTCTTACCATTCATAATGTGATCTATTTGTGTTTTCCTTTTTTTAATATCTATACTGTTGGTCTTTTCAAAGAACCAGGTCCTGGTTCCGTTGACCTATTCTACATGGGTTTTGAATGTTTACTGCTTACCTTGTTATTAGTTTTTTTCCCCTTTTTTGTGTTTGTGTTGCTGCTGCTGTTTTCCTACTTTCTCAAGTTAAATGCTTGATTCATGTATTTTTTGTGTTCTACGAATAACATATTTAAGATTGTCTTTTTTCTGATGACTGACTTGGACCAGCATTTTTGGTATACTGCAGGAGTGAAGCAGACATTGACGCAGGACGGCTTGACTCTGAAGTGTACTTTGGGGCTGTGGAGGTCGGGGTGTGCTAGGACTGGTGGCCAGGATAGTGAGCACGTTCCTCACCTTGGTGACCAGGGCCAGGGCCAGGAGCAGACTGAAGAGCAGGGGCTGATGTCCAGGCCCCTCTGACAGTCCCAGAAGGAGCAATTCTGAGGCAGCAGTTAGGTTGCCTCTCACCATGGCTTCTGGTCTCTCTAAATATGTGTCAGAAATACGTCTGTCAACAAGAGCAGAGGCAGTCTGGGAAAGTGCGCCTAGCGACCTCCATCATGAGCTAAAATAAAAGTTTGTGATGCTTTTGAAAGGATTTCCAACCTGGGCTGGTGAGGGCAAGAGAGGCCGAGAGCTGTACAGTCCCTGAGTGTCGCTGGGGGCTGGTGAAGCTCTCTCTGTAACTTCATGCTTCCCCAGGAGCAAAGAACCACACGGAGAAGAAGACAAAGAGATCAAATGGGCACCCAGGTGGCTAAGGTGGTTAAGCTTCCAACTCTTGATTTGGGCTAAGGTCATGATCTCAGGGTCATGAGATCAAGCCCCATGTCGGGGGGTCCATGATCGGCGCGGAGTCTGCTTGAGAATCTTTCTCCCTCTGCTCCTCCTGCTTGTGCACTTGCGCTCGCTCTCTCTCTCTCTCTCTCTCTCTCTCAAATAAATAAATGTTTAAAAAAAAGTAAGGGCAGGGACACAGGGAGAGACAGCGAGAGCAGTGCAATTGACACTGATTGGATCCCAGTTTGCTTTTTCTTCATCTCTGCAGGGTTCTGCGTGGTGGCCATCAAGACGCAATTGTGTACCTGTGAGTGTGTGCGTGCGTGTACTGAGACACAGACATATCTATTCATATGTGTGTCTGTAGAACAGGCCTAGAAGAATATTCCCCAAAATGTTAATTAACTAACAGCAGTTATCTCTAAGATGTGAGATATTTAACTTGAGTGTTGTTGTTGTTTTTTTTTTTAACAAAAAACATATAAATTTTCTAAACTGTGTTCCCTGGATGTTAACAAGTGTTTCAAGAGGCTTCTATGATGTTTGAGGCCTGGGTGTCATTGGGAGCTCATACTTGAAGACTTGTCAGACAGAGGGTGTATCTGGGAAGGCTTGTCCCCATATCTCTGTCTTTTCTCAAGTTTATGTAATGAAATCCACAAAGGTGATATGTCCATGTGGTGGGACTCCACTGTACAGACAAATCCATACCCCTAGATTGGATGTACATGAAATAGGAAAACTTAGTAAAATCTGATTTTAAAATATTGACTCATGGGTGCCTGGGTGGCTCAGTCGGTTATGTGTCTGCCTTTGGCTCAGGTGGTGATCCCAGGGTCCTGGGATCGACTCCTGCATCGGGCTCCCTGCTCAGCGGGGAGCGTGCTTTTCCTTTTCCCCCTGCTTGTGTTCTCTCTCTCTCTTTCTCTAATAAATAAATAAACGAATAAGTAAATAAATTCTTAAAAATAAAATACTGACTCATGAAAGAAGTTGTAAGCGATCGCAGGGATCGCCACATAAAAATAAAGCCCAGGTGCAGATGCTTTTACAAACCTTATCAGTTCCTCAGACTGAACTTTTCTGAATCAATTCTCCAGATTCCCCCGACATCCTGTCCCAGTATTACAAGGTCACAAGAGCAGAATAACATCTGACAAGTTCATTTTCAAATCCCAACAGCCTCAGGCTAACATTAACTGAAACCCAAACTTGGAAACAACAGCACATAGGCAAACTAATGAGGCAAAAATCTTGAATACTGTAGAAATCTACAAGTCTCTAAGTTTGTTGAAAGGATAACACTCCGTATAGAAATGTAAGAACAGTCAGCGCTCTGACACAAATCTGACACCCCTTCGTGACACTGAGCACCCTTGGTGGGACTGGACTAGAAGCCTAATCTCAAACGGCAGAGTCTGGATGCACTTTCCCTGAGCATGCCACCTCACCCACACGCCCCTCATCTCTCCGGAACTCATACTTGTGCTCAGTCTCTACTCAAAGCGATTGTCTACCCTCGGCCCTAAGGAGGCTTGGCTCTGTCCTGAAGGACACTGTGTTCTCACTGTCCCTCCCCAGGAGGCTTTTCTTCCTTCTCAAGCCCATACACCTCAGGGTAAGCAGGAGGCAGTGTGCTTCCCCCCGGGGGCTGTTCTCCTGCCCCGTATTCTCACCCCTTTACGAAGAACACTTAGGCATCTGAGGCCCCCGCTGTCCAGCCCCCTTGCCCATCGCTCTCTCTCAAGGGAACCATTCTGTCCCCAGGCATTCACGAGAACTCTGCTGCAGCCCACTGTCCCCGCCACGCCCCCCTCCCGCCTCGTGCGGAGACCTCAGCGTGCAGGTGGCGGACCGCCACGACCCACTAACCTCCAACCCCCTCTCCGTCATCCCTGTCCCCTCGGGACGGTGACCCAGCCTACGCCAATCACAGGCTTGCTCGCTCTCTCAGGGAACCGGGAGGAGGAAGAGAGACACAGAGAGATGGAAAGTGGCTGGAGCTGAGTCACTGAGAGCCGGTCCTTGGACAGAGCTGGTCTGAGTCACACCGAGACTCCTCAGAGGGGCTCTGGCTCCCGCCCTGTCCCGCCCGACACGGGAGCTCCTCCAGGGCCCTCCGGTGAGCCCGCTCACTCAGTCAGAGCTGCGATCTGTCTCTGGCGACCGAAGTGTGCGGGTATATATCTATAGCTTTATCTGTATCTGTGTATATATATATATATACGTATATATACGTATATATGTATATATATATTAAAGATTTTATTTATTTTTTTTGACAGAGAGAGAGATCACAAGCGGGCAGAGAGGCAGGCGGGGGGGGGGGGGAAGCAGGCTCCCCGCTGAGCAGAGAGCCTGATGTGGGGCTCGATCCCAGGACCCTGAGATCATGTCCTGAGCCAAAAGCAGAGGCCTAACCCACTGAGCCACCCAGGTGCCCATATATATATATATATATATATAATGTATATATACATATACATATATATATATATATTTTTTAAGTAAGCCGTGAGGAGGAAAAGCGCTTTCCAAGTGTGACAAAGCTTTGGCATTCTGAACACAGACAGAACACTGACCAACCGGGGGAGAAACGTGACTGTCCCGAACAGAAACCAGGCAGAGGATATGAGCGGACGGTTCTCAGCAGAGCTGGCGCGGGCCAAACGTCACACACGGTGCCACCTGCTTACACCAGCATCTCAGGGAAAGTGGCGCAGCACCGAGATGGGATTTGGGTTACCGCATGGGTTTGGTCTTACCAAGGTGTACACGACCGAGCATACCCTGTCTGAGGTGGGACGTAGGGAAACGGACATTTTCGCGCACGATGGGCGCAAGCTGCCGGGGGTGCAGTGTGGTCCTGTGTGTCAAGCGCGGGAAAGAGGGCTTACTCTTTGACCCCAGTCCCCTTCTACAAATTTCCTGCACAAAAGCCAACAGGCCATGGTGTTCGCTGCAGCCCAGTTTATAGTCCTGATGGGTGACAAGCGGTGGAAAGGTCTAGCATAGGGCACTGGCTAAGGGAGCTGAGGAACAGGGGCATCTGGGCGACTCAGTGGGCTGGGCGCCCAACTCTTGATTTCAGCTTGGGTCGTGATGGTGGGGTCGCGGGATCGAGCGCCGCGTTGGGCTCCGTGTTTGGTGTGGAGTCTGCTTGGGGTTCCCCTCTGCCCCTCCCCCCATGCTCTAGCAATCATTCAATCAATCAATCAATCAATCTATCTATCTCAGGGGAAAGGAGCTGAGGGATACACGCGTCTGGATGATTACACAGTCCCCACCGCCCACACCCGTGTCCTGTGCCTTTGGGTAATGACGCTTTAGAAGCACAGACGGGTGCTGGAGGTCATCGGACTAAAGCTCTTCTGAGGGACAGAAGGCGGCGGGAGCAGCGGGGACACAGATGCAGCCGCCACAGGCCTGTCTCCTCCGCGGGGGATGGCGGGATCCCTGGAGGCTGAACGTCAGCTGAACTGGTAGGACCCCCGAGGCCCAGGGTCCGGTGTGCCCTCGATGTCCCCTGCATGATAGGCTCAATCAGACGCAAGAACTCTAAGATGACAGGTTTGCCAGAAGGAGCTCCCCGTGCCCGCCACCCACCACAAATAGAGCCCATCTGTTAAATAAGTTTAAAACCTGTGGAAAAATTTAATTCTAAACTCACAAAATACATTTTATGTTGCCCCTTTAATATGTAAGCACAAGTATAAAACTGATGTGATATTACAAAATGTTGACAGTAGTTAATTGCAAATAATAGAGTATAATTGATTTTCATTTTCCCCCATTTCCTAAGTTGTTTCAGTTACCTTGTACCATCTGAATATCTGAGTCCCGGAGCGCCTGGGTGGCTCAGTTGGTGAAGCGTGTGCCTTCAGCTCGGGTCATGATCCCAGGGTCCTGGGATGGAGACCATCATCAGGCTCTTTGCTCAGCGGGGAGCCTGCTTCTCCCTCTCCCTCTGCCTGCCGCTCCCCCTGCTCGTGTTCTCTCTGTGTCAAATAAATGAATAAAATCTTCAAAAAGAAATGAATGTCTGAATCCCTGGCCCTTCCTTGCATCCATAGGACAAGGCTGATACCATCTGAGGGTGTGGTAGCAGAACAGAAACTTGGCATTGTGGCTCAGTTTTATCTTCTGCAGGAAAATTGTGTAAGTGCTCTCCTCCTCTAGCAACGGGGAAACAAGTGGGTCCTGCATGCCAGAGGTCCAGGATGGGCGGAGAGGCCAGCCCACGGTTCTCCACGGAAGCCCGGCATCATCAACGTCCCCAGGCACACGCACCAGGTTACGACTCAGGTGCCTTTGCCCTGCTGAGACCCAGTGAGAAAGTGGCCCCCCAACAGCATGGCCCCCAGAACCAGGGAAAGCTGCTCTAGCAAGGAGGTGTGGACATTTGCGGGGACGTGCTCCTTCAGTCGTCAGTATGCTAGGAGGGAAGGGAAAGCAAGTCAAGTCCCAGCTGGGCCCATGTTTCTCCTTTGCGAGGAGGCCACTAGCCCTAACCCTCCTGTGTCTCCCTCATGGAGGGTGCGGATGTCCCCAGGCACCCCATCCCACCCCCAAGAGCTAATCCTCAGGGTCTCCGTTGCAGTGATGCCCAGACTAAGGTCTAGCCTTTTGCTGCCATCCCCCACTCCAGCCGTTTGTTGAACCTCCACAACCAGTCACTGCCCGTAGTTGCTGGCATTTTCTGATCCCCCTGTGGTGGGGTTCAATACCTGAGGCCAGAAGACCGCAGGCGATCCCCTCCCCCAGGTGCATTGAGGCTGCTAGAGAAACTCTGGCTCAGGAACCAGATACTATTGACTTGGCCCCTGTCACAGGCCTCCAGACCTCCTCATTCTGCCAACAACTGCTTTTGATGAGCTGTCAATCCCCCCCCACCACGTCCCCTCAGGCCACTCTGACCTGTCTCCCTCTGCCATCTGCCTTCAGGACCATCCCCTCCCCCACGCAAGAGGCCACTCCTGGCATGTCCCTCCAGGTTATCTCCTTCTGCTGTCCTGTTCTCCCTGTTCCCCTTCCCCTCCCTTCCACACTCACCAACTCACTTGGGAACAGCGTCTCGAGCTGCTCCTGGCCACTGTCCCTTCACCTCTTCCAGGCCACCCCACCAGGAATGCAGCCTCCTGGCAGACCCAGCTCCTCTATTTCGTGGGATGAAACCATCCCAGCAATCTGCCTCTTTGCCATCTGGCCACCAGCTCAGCTTCTGGAATAACCTGCAGAGCATCACTGTGAGGCCCATCAGGAGTCTGTATAGTCCATGCTACCAATTCCAGTAGGACCCCCTGGAATTCGCACCTGTAGGGATCAGAGGGGTACCCTGACCTTGTGTGTCACCTACCACATCTTCCCCACCAGCTGACGTCTGCACAGCCATCTGGGTCCTGGGTGCTGCTGTACTTTTCCCCTAAGAGCCCAAGGGGAACAGATTACCCCCTTCTTGGACTGTTTGGAAACGGAGGTTCCTACAGAAATCCTACTTAGAGTGCAAGGGTTTCTGGCATGGCTGTGCAAACCCTTCCCTATGACTGGCTCCTGCTGGGCTGGTACTGCCAAGAGTTGTCAGACGACCTCTAATTGCCTCTACTAACGTATCTTAAGGAAGCATCGTTCATACAAAGATTTNTGCCTCTACTAACGTATCTTAAGGAAGCATCGTTCATACAAAGATTTTACACCAGAGTTCCACTGACTCACCATCTCTCATCGGCAAAGCTGAAGAGAATTTAAAAGTTCAGTAATTACATTAGAACGCGTCTTTCATGCATCCATTCGAGAATGCACTCAGAGTTTTCATAGAGGAAAAGTTCACATTCGATGGAGAAAACATCCGGAGACCTGTGAAACGTGCAAAATATTACCCCTTCTTCATTATTCTGTTTAGCATATAAACACAAGGAAAAAACTAAGGACACATTCCACCGAGCGGAGAGAGCCGTTGACAGCAAAGGACAGTGAAGGACAGTGAAGGACAGAGAAGGACAGAGAAGGACAGAAGCCGTGTTCTCCCATTTCCTCCACGGTCTTCAGTCAGCTCTCATGCCTCCCTATCTACATCCCAGAACCTCCCCTCCGCTTCCCCGAGGACAGGACAAAGGGAAGACCCTCTGGAGGCGGTGCCACGGTGGAAAATAAGCCCAGACAGGGAACCAACCGCACAGCTCCGTTTAATTGTCTGCACTGAGGAACGTTCAAGCGGCAAACAAAACAAAACAAAACAAAACAAACGGGCCCCGAGTGCCCTGGGGCCGGTAGCGGCAGAGGATTAGGCCCTCCTAACACAGTGGCAGCTGGTACGACAGGAGTCACTGTCCCGGGAAGGACGCAGTCCCCGGGGAGGGACACGTTAGACTTCAGCCCCTCTCTCCAGCCCAGGCTTAGCGGGAAACGGGGGGCCCAAAGCGCCGCATGGTCCGCATCACCAGGGAAAGGTGGTCCAGGAAGTTGAGGACGGAAATTCGCAGGAGGCGAGGATCCTCAGCTCTCCAGTGGCTGAAAGGGAGCAGAAAAGACAACCGAGTTGGAGGTTGAAGCTCCTCCCCTTCCTTGCTCTGCCGCCCCCCGCCCCAAATCCAGCCCACCAACTCCGACATCCCCACGAAGGCACCTCCCTATACCCCAGGCCAGGCTGCAGGTGCAGGCCGAGACAGCCTCCCCCACCCCTGTCCCTGGAAGTAACCGTTCACGGAGGGTCTCGGTGTGTCCAGCTGAGCGCCCCTTCTGTGGAAACCGGGCCTGCTACCTGCTGCCGCTCCCACCGGGCCCCCTTCCAGAACTTACGCGGCCAGGACGCTGCCGCTCACTGTGAGCTGCTTCTCGACAGCCTTTCTGTGGGGCTCGGCATCTGGGGCCAGGGACCCACAGGCAATCTCCGCCTCCAAGCGGGATGGAAAAGGCACGCAGAGGGCACTGGAGGAGACCGGCTTAAGGCACCACCCAAACGATTTTGCGCCTGCCCCCCGCCCTTCTCAGGCCCCCCTGACGAGCCCAGTCCCCTTCAAGACAGCTCCCACCCCCTTCCCCGACCTAATCATGCCCAGCCACCCCGGCCCCAGACGCCAAGCCAGGCCCATAGCCCCCCACCCCCGCCCCCGGCAACCGGGTCAGCCCCCTGCTCTCCCTCCTTCCTCCCCCGACCCATCCCTCTGAAGCCAGGCCATTGGCACCCTGCTGGCATCTCTCTGCCGCCCCCCCACTCCCCCAGCACCCCCTGCCTCCCCTCTGCACCCCTCCAACCCAGCCGCGGGCCAGACCCCCCAGCTTCCCCTGCCCCCTCGGTGACCACTGTCCCACCAGCCCCGGGCAGGACCCCCCCAGCCGCTCCCCCAGTGACCACGGCCCCACCAGCCCTGGGCCGGACCCCCCCAGCCGCTCCCCAGGTGACTACCGTCCCACCAGCCCCAGGCCGGAACCCCCAGCCTCCCTCAGTGACTACTGTCCCACCAGCCCCAGGCCGGAACCCCCAGCCTCCCTCAGTGACCACTGTCCCACCAGCCCCGGGCGGGACCCCCCCAGCCACTCCCCGGGTGACCACTGTCCCACCGGCCCCAGGCCGGACCCTCCCAGCCGCTCCCCCGGTGACCACAGCCCCACCAGCCCCGGGCCGGAACCCCCAGCCTCCCTCAGTGACTACTGTCCCACCAGCCCCGGGCCGGACCCCCGCAGCCACTCCCCACTGACTACTGTCCCACCAGCAATCAGGCTGGACCCCCACAGCCTCCCCACCCCCCGTGACCACTGTCCCACCAGCCCTGGCCGGACCGCCGTAGCCGTCCCCAGCCCCTGGTGAACACCGCCCCTCTCCCTGTCCGCCCGCAGGCCGCCCCGACCCTTCGATCCCTCAGGGGCCCTGGCGCCCACAGCCAGCCCCCGGCCCAGGCCGCGCCGTCCGCTCGGGCAGGATACAATATGTGTCTTCGGCTCTCCCGCCTTCCAGTCGTGGCAGCGGCGTCTCCGCCCGGCTCCGGGACGTGCCGCACGCGCGAGACGGGCCGAGCCCTGCCGGCGGCGGCAGCAGCTGCCTCGCCCGCGCCGCCGGGCAAGCCGGGACCGCCCGGGCCACGGCGACGGTCCTGGCCGTCCGAGCCGTCGTCCGCAGCGCCCGCCCCGCTGCCCGCGCCTGCGTCTGCGCCTGCCGCCTGCATGGCCGCCGCGCCCCGCCCTCCCGGCGCCGCTCCCGCCGCCCCGCCCCTCCGAGTGGCCGCTGAGGAACTACGGCTTCTTCCCAAAGCTCCGCTTCTCGCGCGGGCCCCGCCCCCACGCCGCGCACGCGCACACTGGCTCAGGGAGGGCCGGGGCGGGGCGGGGCGGGGCGGGGCGGGGCGGGGCGGGGCGGGGTGGGGAAAAGGGTGCCGGGCGCGTGGCCGCTTCCCGCCAAACCGACCCGGCGGGGGCCCGCCAGGAAAGCCAGGCTCCCTCCACAAGCCCTGCGTCTCAGAGCCCGACGCGTCCCCAGGGCGCCTGCGCCATTGGGCTCCTAGGGAGGCCGCCAGGCCTGTGGTCGCTGCCCGCCCAGTGGGCCCTTGCACCCTTGGGCCCTGGGAGGCCCCATGGCTGCCGAGCCAGCCAGCGCTTCCTCGCAAAGCTCAGCGCCTTTGTACGCGACGCGACTCGGGCTGCCCGGAGCGCCTGCGCCAACAGCCCCCGTCGCCCCCCACCCCACCCCACCGACCCGCCCCGGCCCCAGGAGCCTGCTGGGCCCTTGACTGGCCTCCCACAGTCCCTGTCAGCCGCCCCGTGAGCTCCCGGAGACCCCGCCCCATGGCTGCCTGGCCAATGAGAGCTCTTTCGTGAAGCCCCGCCCCTCAGGGCTCCGTGGGATCCAGGCGCGCCTGCGCATACACGACGCTTCCCTCGGGCGTCCGCCGGCACCGTGCTGGGTTCCCGCCAAGCCCGGCCCGCGGCTTCCGGGACCGCCTTTCCGGCTGCGTGGCCTGCGAGCACTCCCTCTCGAAACGCTGCCCCGTAGGGTGACACGTGACCCCGTCGCACCTCCGCAGTCCCGTCGTGCCTCAGCTCGACTCCCACCGCACCCCCCCACCCCTGCCCGAGACCTCGTGTGAAGCCACCGGACTCGTGGCCTGTTGCCCGCCCTGCCTCTTGCCGGGGTTCGGGTCCCCAGGACGTGCGGCTCGACGTCCTTGCAGCCATTCGTGGAAGGGAGGTGGGACAGAGCCCACGACGGATCCTGGGCCGCGCCCCGCCCCCATCGCCGGTACAGGTGGACAACCCGAAGTGGCCTTCGAGGGGGCGGCCCCTGGGATGAGCGCATCAGATGCGATTTTCAGAAAGATGGCCCGGTGGCCCCCGTGCGAGGGCAAGCCTGCCAGCGGGGCGAGGAGCGACGGGGTGGGCCCTGGAACTCAAGCAGTGGCCGCGGAAAACCGGGCTCCTGGCCTAGACGAACAACCAGAAGGCAGAATGGCGAAAGTCCCACAGAACGGCAAAAGGACCCACGGCCCTGTCTAGACGCCAGAAAGCCTGTGCAACACCCCCAAGTGTAGACACCCATGATCTCTCGGTGGTGGCTTTGGGGGGGCTGACTTCCTTGTGGGGGGCTTCTTCCCCCAAAAGGCCCACGGGGACCTTACGTCACGTTTCTTTCATTTTTTTCTTGTTAAGTCGTCTCTACACCCAACCTGGGGCAAAAACTCACGTGCCCCAGACCAAGAGTCGCATGCTGTACCCACCGGACCAGCCTGCGGGCACCCCCATAATCAAAAAGCAGTTATTTAATCAGACAAGAGATATCCATCCTGGACTGTTGTATTAGTTTTCTGTGTCTGTCCTTGGTAATCATAAAAGGAAGGACATAAAACTGAACTAGAGCATCAAATCCTGCTGGGTCTCCCCTCAAAACAGACCCTACATCAGACCACTTCACTCCCTCTGTATTGCTATCCCGAACCATACACTCAACAGAAACAACATGTTTGGGGCACCTGGTGGCTCAGTGGGTTAAGCATCTGTCTTCAGCTCAGGTCGTGACCCCAGGGTCCTGGGATCCAGCCCCCCATGGGGCTCTCTGCAGAGCAGGGAGCCTGCTCCCTGGCCCCCTGACTGTCTCTCTGCCTACTTGTGATCTCTGTCAAATAAATAAATAAAACCTTTTTTAAAAAAGTTAACAACATGTTCAACAAAAATATAGTGATGCTTTAAAAATAAAACAATAAAAATTAATAAATATAATTATAAATAATACAAAATAAAACAAATGAAAAATAAAAATAAATAATAGAAAATAAAAATTATAAAAATAATTTTTAAAATCTCAACAAATTCTCTGTATTCCACCCTGCAAAATAAATGGGACTTAATTTCTCTCCCCCTGAGTGTGCACTGGGCTGTAATTTCTTTCTCTCAAATAGCATATGGAAGAAGTGACAATGTGGAAATTTGGAACCGTAGATCATAAAAGGCTTGCCAGCTTCAGGTACTTGCTCTTAGCTAACTCTAACAGGGGAATCCGTATCAGGAGGAATCAAGCCTCCAGCCAACCACCATGTGAGTGGCTGTTGTGAGCTACTTTGGAAGCAGATTTGCTCAACCAGACCAGCCTTCAGATGAGTGCCGCGCTGACCAGCAACTTCACCGTGCCCACATGATAGACCCCGTGCCAAAACTATCCTTCTGGGCTATTCCTGGAGTGGTGACTCCCAGAAACAATAAATGTCTGTTACTTTAAGCTACTAAATTTTGAAGTAATTTGCTATGCAGTGAGAGATAACTAAGACACATAAATAAGACTATTTAACCAGCTGGGTAGTATTGTGCAGCAGAGTAAATGTACATGAGATTAAAGAAATATCGCTAAGCTTTCCTCCACAGGTGTAGTACCTTTGCACTCCACAATGTTTGAAAGTGTCTCTCTCTCTCTCTCCACAGTCTTGCCAGCAGAGTATATTGTCAAGAGTTTGAATTTTGGCAATCCAATTGGTGACAAATGGTATCTCTCTTTTTTTTTTTAAGATTTTATTTATTTATTTGACAGAGAGATCACAAGCAGGCAGAGAGGCAGGCAGAGAGAGAGGAGGAAGCAGGCTCCCCTAGAGAGCAGAGAGCCCGATGCGGGGCTCGATCCCAGGACTCCGAGATCATGACCTGAGCCGAAGGCAGCGGCTTAACCCACTGAGCCACCCAGGCGCCCCATCTCTCTTTTTTTTTAAAGATTTTATTTATTTATTTGACAGAGATCACAAGTAGACAGAGAGGCAGGCAGAGAGAAAGAGACAGAGGAGGAAGCAGGCTCCCTGCCGAGCAGAGAGCCCGATGTGGAGCTCGATCACAGGACCCTGGGATCATGACCTGAGCTGAAGGCAGAGGCTTTAACCCACTGAGCCACCCAGGTGCCCCAGAAATGGTATCTCAATGTACGTTAAATGTATATTTCTCTTATGACTCAGCATGAACGTCTTTTTATATGTTTAGGGACCATTGGCACTTCCTTTTCTGTAAGCCATCTGCTCATATCCCGTTCCCCATTTTTCTCTTACTCCTATCAATATTTAGAATTTCTCTTTTAAAGATTTTTTAATTTATCTGTTTGTCAGAGAGAGAGAGCAAGCATGCACGCACAAGCAGGGGGAGTGGCAGAGGAAGAGAGAGAAGCAGATACCACCCTGAGCAGGTAGCCCAATGTGGGGCTCAATCACAGGACCCCAAGATCATGACCCAAGCCGAAGGCAGATGCTTAACCGAGCCACCCAGATGCCCCTAGAAGTTTTATACACACACACACACACACACACACACACACTCTCTCTCTCTCTCTCTCTCTCTCTCTTTGGATGTGACATAAGTTGCAAAAGTCTTTTTCCTGTTTGTCATTTCTCTTATTTTGCTTCTGGAGGGATGTTTTGAAGATTTTAATTATTTATTTGATAGAGAGGAAGTGAGAGAAGGAGCACAAGCAGGGGGAGTGGGAGAAGGAGCAGCAGGCTTCCCGCTCCACAGGAAGCCAGATGCAGGGCTCCATCCCAGGACCCTAGGATCATGACCTGAGCTGAAGGCAGA